ATTCTGGGGCTTCCCGACTTGTGAAAGCTGAGGCAGACCATGGTCCTCACTGCAGCTGGATAGACAAAGTCTGCTCTGCAGACCCAACTCCTGTCTGTGCTCACCAAGTTCAAGACCGCGGGAGGCATCAAGGAGCCCATTTTGGCTTTAAGCCCAAGCAAACTTCCTTTAAAAATATTTATTGATTTCAGAAAGGAAGGGAGAAGGAGAGACAGAAACATCCATGATGAGAGAGAATCATGGATCGGCTGCCTCCTGCACACCCCCTACTAGGAATGAAGCCCCCACCCTGGGCATGCGCCCTGACTGGGAATCGAACCGCGACCTCCTGGTTCCTAGGTTGATGCTCAACCACTGAGCCAAGCTGGCTGGGCCGAGCAAACTTATTAAAGTCCAGCAATAAAGCCCCCCTTGGGATTCCCATCGGACCCCTGTATGTAATTCTCAGCCGCTTCAGAATGATCCCCCCTAACATACACACCGGATGCCTGGGTGCAGCTGAAGGAGAAAGGAGCGGAGGTATCGCTGGGAGACCTTGAGCTGGAGCAGAGCTGGAAGGGAGCGAATGCTCTCCCTCCTTGAAGACAAGACGGAGGCCACCACGTGCCAAGATGAGGAGCAGTCCTGTGTTGAGGACTCTGGGCAGGACACGCGAGACCCACCCACCCTTCCTTTACCGCCGTGAGGCGCCCCTTCCCTGGGATTCACGATCCACCAGAAATGACATCACTCCAGGCTGCCTGGGGACCTCATCGCTGTCGCCTCCTCCACCGTGAAGCACACGTACTCCTGAAGGACTTTTGTGAGCCAATTGCTGAGTATTCACGGTGAGCATAATTATGCCGGATGACTTAAGCAGCATGAGGGCATGCAGCTAACGGAGCTCGTGGGTATGGCAGGAAGCTCAGAGCCGGTGCGGCCACCGTGTCCAATGGGAAGGCAGGCTGGTGGCTCAGGAAGACGGACATGAGTCAGTCCCCTTTGGACTAGTTGGTTACAGCTCCAAAGTGCACGCTCAGGGATGAAGAGCGTTTTCAGGTAATTTGGGGGAAATGGCATCATTTCATGTTTTTTCCTTCCTGGGATTGGGGGGGGGGTGACAAAATGCTTGGATGATGCCTCGTTCGGGGGCTGGGGAGTCAGCACCCCATAGAAGGTCATCTCCAGGGGCTGAGACCCTCAGGACGAGCTTAAGCACATGGCCCAGGTCTCACTGGTTCCCAGACATCCATTCTGGCACCGTCGGCTCTTTCTAGACAAGAAGCAACTGGTGATGTTCTAACTGGATCTACAGACAGCACTGAAGAGACACCCAAGGGAGCTGCCAAACACCTGCTCATTGGGAATGCTGCACGCGAGACGGCCTAGCAAGCAAGGCCTGGAGACGCCCACCTGGCTCAGAAGGCTCAGGCAAACTATCACCGTTACCTTCACCAGGATTCGACCTACAGGTGCCCGAATGGGGAGCGGCGAGATCCACGCCGCAGGATGAAGGATGGGGTGCATCAGAACCGCGCACCGCCACATCGGTCCTATGCTCCCCGCGACACACGTAGCCAAGCCTGCGTCCCAACTCCACTGCACAGAGCGAACAGCCGCCCGCAAGGCCGGCCTCCTTCCTCAGCCGCACTCCCAGAGGGGGGGCTCCCAGCCCGGCCTGTCCCCCATCCCTTCCTCCCGCCAGGCAGGGCCCCCCCCCCCCCCCCGACTTCTGCAGAGACAGACACCCAGAAAGGTATACCCTGCAGCCGGCAGCAGGGCCGGCCCGGCCTCCAAGACGAGAGAGCCCATTTTCTATATTTCATCTGCAAGTCCATTATGCTAAACTAAGTGGCTGGGAATAAACACCCATCATTACCCCGCAGTCAGCGATATTTGTTAGCAGAGAAGATGACAGAAATCTATATCATGCCGACGCGCTATTAATACTGCATTACGCACAAAAGGTTGCGTGCGTTCCCACCACAGCTGGGGACTGGCCGTGGCGGGCGGCTGTTCTTCCGGAAAAGGCAGCGCCGGGGCCAACGGGGCCAGGGAGGAGGACACAGCCACTGGCTCCCTTCCCTTCGGGAGGAGGCCCGGTCCGGGCCGAAGGGACGCAGCCCACAGGCCGGACCGAATCTCTGCGCGAGTCCTGGCCTTGTAGGCTGGTGTGTTCAAGGACGCATCCCGCACCTGCCCCTGGGGAAGGAGTGAAGCCAGGCCCTCAGGCAGCTGCATTAAAGCCGCGGAGGAGGAAGGGACACAGGAGAGCCCCTCGTGGGAATGAGCATCCAGGCAGGTTTGGGAAATAAGACACGCGCACGTCTGAGATGTGACTCCAAGTCATGGGGAGAGCATGGCGTTTGCCCTGCGGCGGCGCGGGTCCCGGGAGACGTCGCTGCGTTGGCACGGGCCCAGGAAGAGGCTGGAGACGAGCCAGATGTGGGATGGAGCAGAGAGCAGAGAAAGGAAGGACAGATGTGGAGTGGAGCGGAGGGCGCAGAGAGGAAGGGTGGGGTGCGGGGGTCTGCAGGGCGGGGAGAGGGGCTGGAGGTGGGCTTGGAGGTCTGGAAAGAAGCAGTGGGGACTCCTCAGCAGACAGCAAACTCCCTGCGGGCACCCAGAGGGCATCCTCCAGTATCCTGGACGCCAGCTGCGGTGCGCAGTGAGCGCGTTTTCTGAAAACCAGGAAGGCCATCTGCTGTCTCCTGACAGGACACACCCGCCTCCCTGATGGCAGAGGTCTGAGCTGGAGCCGCCTCCCGTGTCTCCAGGAGGCACTGCTTGTTCCCTATCCCTCAGGTCTGTCCGCCACCTGCTGCCCTGGCCGCTGCGGCCCGTCCTTCATTCGAGACCTGTCAGAGCCCAGAAGGCCACGGCATCACCTCCCTCGGTTTCCGGGAGAAAACCCCTGCCTGGATGCAGGGGCCTGACGTCACAGGACACGCAGATCCCACGCTTCCTTGGGGGGCAGGGGGGGTCTCCACTTACACTGAACTTCTTTCCCACGAGCCAAATTCACCCCATCATCCGGGTATCAGGAGCTCACAGGAGCACAGACGTGACCCAGAGGAAAGCCCAGGGCGTCCATGGGAGGACATAGGCCATCCTCGGCGTTCCTGGGTCTGTGCTTAACCCAGCCGCCTCTGGCCCCTCCTGGGTCTGTATCAGACGCCCTAAAACGTATGTGAAACGCCAAGCCAATGCGGGACGCACTTTCACGGTCACTCACAGACATGCAAGGGGGTAAATCCTCCCAACACACACGAACCCAGCTGAGACCAAATAAGCCTGCTTGTGTGTGTCCCACAAGCATAGAGTCCAAGTGCTGGCTACGCCCCTATGAACAAGAAGCTGGGGTGCCTTCTAGAGCGAACAGGGTGTTAGGTAGGACTCCTGGGTTAGGGAAGCTTCGCTTAGGCATGTGTCAGTGCTGTGGACCCTGCGGGCAATGTTAATGACGCAACAGCACCTGTTAATAAGAAGTCTTCAAGCAGAACAAGCACGAAGCAGCTGGTCCTGACCAGCCGCGGACACTGCTGTGGCCAGGGGCTGGCAGGAACCTAACCCCGCATTTCCGCTCGGCGCAATGGCTCCGCGGCCCCATGCAGTGCTCACAGGGCTTCAGAGAACATAACTACCGTGAACAGCGAGAACCAAGTGCAGGCTCAACACAGCCATGCCTGCATCTCTCTGCCAATGCCAATGCCACCCTAGCAAACGCAGTGACGTCAACCGAGACGGGGTCCCGTGGTATAGCCACAGAAGGCCTTCCTCGCCACCCCCGGGTCTGGCCAGGACGACCCTGACCTGAAGCGAGAGCCATCTCAGAGCATCTTCCCCTGCCTGAACCCAGTCCTTCCTCTAACCACGCTGATGGGCTACAAACCCGATGCTGGAGGACGCCTAGGGGAACGGGGAGGATGGCCGCCCCGTCCCAACTCAAGCCCCGTCCTCCCACTGGTGACCTCTCGCTGAAGTCAGAGAGCAGAAGCCAAGCCCGATGGGGAAGCCAGGTGCCCGCTCTGCTGGGAGATGGACGGGGAGGACAGCTCGGGGGAGTGGGGAGCCCCAACTCAGACGGGGGAGCAAGACCAGGCTCTCCCTCCTAGGCCACCCCAACACAGGCGAGATGGGGGAGCCAACAGCAGAAGCCCGGGGGCAGAGAAGGGGAGCCCCGGCCCGCCAGAACCTCCGTTTCCTGTCCTACAAGGAGGCCTTCCCCTGGCCCGTGTCTGTCCCTTCAGCTCTGAGGCCGTCTCCAGGGCCTCTGTGCTCCCTGGGGAAGTGGCTGGCATTGGGGGGCAGGAGCGCGGGAGGGGAGGGGGCGCTACTGTCGCTGCGTAGACTGAGCCTGGGGACCCGGCAAGGGGAACGGCCGTTGGCTGGGCGGCCAAGCCGGAGGCCCCGAGAGCCGGAGAGGCCCCCCCAGCAGACACAGAGGAAGGAGCCAGGACCAACAGGAGGGGAGAGCCAGGATGGAGCGGGTGCCTGAGGCCTGACCTGAGTGAGACCCTGCAGGGCCTGGGGGTCCTAGCGCCTCGGCCACGGGACCCTCGGGGCGTGTGCGCTGCGGGCACTGGAGGGGCAGCTGCTGGGATGTCCTCATTCAAATGGCGCTCGGCCCTTCGCTCCCTCCCTCCCTCCCTCCCTCCCTCCCTCCCTCCCTCCCTCCCTCCCTCCCGGAGGCTGGGGTGGCCGTTCTGCCCACCTCAGCAGAGCCGCCAGGGCAGAGTCGGGCTACTTTCCTAAATGCACAGGCCAGGCCCACCGAGAAGCCCGGCCAGCCTGCGCCCCTGCCTCGCTGGGTCCTGCCTCTCTGCTCCCGGGGCTCCGCCCGTGGCGTCCTCGGCCCAGGCTACTCTTCGGGGACAAACAGGGAGGGTCTCAGAGAGAGGGGAGGGGAGGAGGCAGCAGGTCACCCCAGAAGGTTCCAGAACCCCAGCCTCACGGCCTATCGCCACCCCCCGCCCGCCCCCCCCGCCCCCCAGAAGGGACAGCGCTCCCCGGGCACTCACAGGTGTCGGGGTTGTGGCAGTTGTGGGCCTGGCGGAAGTACTGCGGGTTCTCGATGACGGGGATGCGGGTCATGCCGATGACCACCGTGTCGGGCCCGGCGTCCAGCGACGAGGGCGTGGTGATGCCGTGGTTGATGTGGTGCAGCGGGCTGGCCGAGTCCTCCTCCCCACTGATGACGGCCACGGGACCTGCGCGGGAGAGACCAGGCCGGTGACCGGGGGGGCCGGGGCTCGGCTGCCCGCACGCCCTTCTCACCGTCTGTGCTCCGGCGTTTCCCACGGGCCCAAACCCACTGAGAGGGCGTCCCGGAGGCCTGGATTCTGAATCCAGAGGAAGAGCCGCCACGTCCCACCGCGGAGGTCAACCAGAGAGCCGAAATGACCGCAACGGAAATGATCAATACGTTCGCCTCCCCCAAGCCCAGGTTAGTTTGAAATAATAAGTGTTGTTGCTTATGCAGCAGCAGTAGGATTTTTGTGTGTGTGTGTGTGTGTGTGTGTGTGTGTGTGTGTTTTTAAAGACCTAGCAGCAGTTGGCACGCTGACCCTTCTCCCTTTAGGAACCTGGAGAACGGCCCGGGCCGGGGTCCCACCCCAAAGAGTCTGAGTCCCTTGGTCGGGCTGCAGCCCAGGCGTCTGGATTGCGGGCTCTCCCGGGAGTCCCATGCACCCCTGGGACCCAGGACCTCGGGGAGGGGTTTGGGGCTGAGCGCCCCTGGGACCCAGGACCTCGGGGAGGGTCTCGGGAGCTGAGTGCCTCTGCAGCGTGGCCACCAGGAGCCTAAGGAGCTGGGACTCTGCCACCAGCTGCGCCAGCCCACAGGAGACAAGCCCGGTGTGAGCCTGGGTCTGGCCGGAACCAGCCTGCACGGTGACAGTCATTGGGCTCCATCACCATTAGCCCCCAGGCCCCTGGGCCCCTGCCCCGCCCTCAAAGGACCCACACATCACCCAACGCCACGCTTTTCTAGCCCCGGGAGAGACGCGTGGATCCCGTTGCTTACAAACACGGCTGACAGACACTGAATGCGGGCTCTCCGGGGGAGCGATGATTCTCTTTGCTGGTGCGACCGCCCCGCACGCACACATAAAAGCCCCATCGAGTGGATTAGCTGCGGCCCCGCGGCCTCGCGCCCCCCGGCGTTTGAAATGGCTGCCTGGCAGGACACGGGGTCCCCAGACGAAGCGCCTGCTGGGATGTGATTCTGTGGCCTGAACCACATTCCCGCTGCAGAACCGTTACATTGCCCTCAAGCTTATGAGGAGAAGGCTCTCATCCAGCAGCGAGATGAGCGCCGATGAGGCAGAACTAAGTGGGAGAGTGCGACGTGCCCACCGGGACCCAGAATCCCCTCCGCCGGCCCGGGAAAGGGTCCTGCATCACTCGCGGGAATCGCTCGCCCTGCAAAGAGGCCCGTTTCCGAAAACACCCTGGGAACTTTCTGGAAAACGTCAGTGTGATTTCCAGTTGGACACAAACGGCCGAGCACCGATCGGTCTTTTTATCTTCCTTCTTCAAGTCTGAAGAAATGAAGGAAATGTGTTTGTTTGTTTGTTTGTTTTGTTTTTTAAAAATATATTTTGATTTTTTTTTTTTTACAGAGAGGATGGAGCCCACAACTGGGGATGGAGCCCACAACCCGGGCATGTGCCCTGATGGGGAATCGGACCGGGATCTCCTGGTTCATAGGTTGAAGTTCAACCACTGGAGCCATGCTGGCACCCTGAGCTCATGCCTTAGTGGAGCCTAATAGTTGGCAAGCTCTACCCGTGCGCGCACAAAGCAAGATCTCGTTCGTTTCTGGTGCCCGAGGTGTAAGTCTGAATAAACGGCTTGGGACCAGCAGACAAGGCAGCAAAGCGTCGGCATGGCAGGAATTGGGGCCCTGGAGGAAGTGGGCAATGTGGGCAGCAAAGGTTTTCCAAAACATCACCAGTCAGAGTGCAAGGAAGAGTCCCCAGGCCCCACCGGCGCGGCTCAGGGGTTGAGCATCGACCTAAAAGCCAGGAGGTCATGGTTTGATTCCCAGTCAGGGCACAGGCCCGGGTTGTGGACTTGATCCCCAGTAGGGGGCGTGCAGGAGGCAGCCTACCTATGATTCTCTCTCTTCGTTGATGTTTCTATCTCCTTTTCCCTTCTTCTCTGAAATCAATAAAAAAAAATATTTTTTTTAAAAAAAGAAAGAGCCCTTGGGAATGTATGGTCATCAAACTCTGAAAGTCAAAGAAGGATGGTAGAGAAAGTCTAGGAAATGCTCCGAAAAGTCAAACAAAAAGGAAAGAGATGGTAAGTAGGAAAGAAAAGATAAAGAAATTAAAGTCTCTATCCAAAGTTCCAACATCTGATTGAAAGAGAGAGAGGGGGAGAGAGGCAGAGAAGAGAGGAAAAGGAGAAAAAAATCATTAAAATGTTGAGAACGGGAGATGAGGGCGTGAGTCACCTCATTAGACTCGCCGGATGAATTACAAATGACTCAGCATTTTCTCTTCTTCCTGGGACCGCTGACCGTTCTGCTTGATGCAACTAAATGCACGTCACAGACACCAGTGCCCCTCAGCCTGCCCTCGCCACCAGGCCCTTACGCTCACCTCTCTCTTTCCATAACCTCATAGGCCTTAAAACGCAGGTCAACAAAGCAGACACAGTCCCAGTGGCCTCCGAGGAGGGGCCAGGAGACCCCACAGCCGGCTCCCACCTGCGTTGGGCCCGGCGGGGCATTAACACCCCAGGATGTGCACACTGACACCCCCTCTCAGGTCCATCGATTGTAATAAATGTGGGGGGAGGGGGGTTGGTAATGGGGAGGCTGTCCATGTGGGGGGACAGGGCATACATGGGAACTCTTTGTACCTTCCACTCAATGTTGCTGGGACCCTAAAATTGCTCTAAAGAATAAATCCTGTAAAAAAATGTAAGGGGTATGAAGGCAGAAGGCAGACCACACACTTCCCAGTGCCCTGGGGGGAGAGGGGGGGACAGAGCTGCCCAGGTGGAGAGCCACCAGGGAGACTCCAGCATCCACCCTGGCACCAAGTCCCCTTAGGGAATGAAGGAAACCACGCAGAATGAGTGCCATGCTTCTGTCATGTGTCAGAATGAAACAAACAAGCCGACCTTTGAATTTAGAAAATGACTTTTTAAAAAACCTCACGCCTCTCCTACTGATAAAAATCAAATATTGGCGTGTCCCTGGTGGGCGAGAGAGCGTGGCGTCCACAGACGGGGAGCGGGAACTCATCAGCCAGAAGTGAGTGAGCGCAAACACCGCACACACACAGTTATAAACGTGGCCGTGCTCAGCGCGGGGTCCCGCTCGCTGCCTCAGACAAGGAGCCCAGCCTCCCAGGCAAACGGAAGAAAATCAGTCTCTTAATTTTTATTGACACACGTGGGACGGGCGCCCCAGAGCACTGGGGGGACCGGTCACCACCCCTCCACGCCAGCCCCTCCCCTCTGCCTTCTCTGGCTCCGGACAGGCCTCGCCACCAGGATCACCAACAAGGCATGCCCTCCGCTTCTCGCCCTGAACCATTTCCCAAAAGAGGAGCTTTTTCCCCTGGCTCCAGTTCCCTCCCAGCCTCTGACAGGAACCGAAGGCATTGCTCACGCCTTGTGGCGTGCACAGCCCGGTGGTATGGCCTGGTGATTGAAAATCGTGCTGCCCATCGACCGGCCCCGGAGCACATTTAAGGAAGGAGAAGGCAGGATGGGCGCCCTGCGCAGACGGTGCCCCTGATCTCAATTCGTCATCGCGACAGCGGGGGAGGTGAGGGGCCTCCCGGGAGCCTTAAGGAGGGAGAGCCGGGAGAGATCCCGACCACAGAGCCTTCAGAATGAAGGAATCTGGTGACCCAATGCACCAAAACCCACCACATCAGCAGAGCGGACGTCCACATTGGTGAGGCGTCTGCATGGCCCTTCACTGCTCACCAGGTGCTTTCCCATCCATCAACCCGATCACCATAGTAACCCGCTTAGGCACTCAGGGCATCAGGGCAGGGCCTACACTTGCCCTCCCACGGGTGAGGAAACTGAGGCTGGGAGCTCTGACAGTGACCTCTGGCACAGTCAGGGGAAGGGAGGCGCACGGGAGCCTGAGCCAGGGAAGGAGGGAGAGGAAGGCGGCACAGAGAGGGCCCCCAGCCTGGCAAACGCCTCTAGGCCCCTCACTCTGCTCCGTCCCCCAGGGCTCGCCTTCCCTGCCGCCCCAAGATCCTCTCTGCTTCCCTGGCGGCCTCCGCCCGGGACACCTTGAACCCGGGCTGCTTGCTGCCTCTCCTCCCCGAGCACGTGGGCGGCCGTGGGCAGGGCCGTGACAGCGCCTATTACTCTCCGGGCGGCCGGGCCCGGCCGCGGACAGGCTGTAAAAGTGATGGACGCGTTTCATCGGAGCGGCGCTGCTGCAGGATCCGAGGAGGGGGCAGAGGTCGAACGACTTGCAGCGAGCCAGGCCCGAATACAACAGCAAAATCAATGGCGTGAGGCTGTATCCGCCTGGCGCCCTCTCCCTCGCTCGGCTCCTGCTCCTGTGTGCTCACCTGCTCCGGCCCCCGGGGTGCCACGCTCTCATCAGCACTCAGAGCAAAGCAGTGAGGTGGTGGGGGTGCCCCGCACCAGACCCTCATAAACGTGCCCCGATCCCAGGAGTGCTCACACAGATGTGCTCCTCGGCCGGAATGGATACAAGCTCACACATAGAGTAGAACCGGTTAGTAATTGCTCGTTAAACAGATCGCAAGGAGGCTTACTGGTCTGTGTGTGTTTCTTTTTAAAAATATATATATATATTTTATTGATTTTTTTACAGGGAGAAAGGGAGAGGGAGAGAGAGAGAGAGAGTTAGAAATATCAATGAGAGAGAAACATCTATCAGCTGCCTCCTGCACACCTCCTACTGGGGATGTGCCCGCAACCAAGGTACAGGCCCCTGACCGGAATCGAACCCGGGACCCTTCAGTCTGCAGGCCGACGCTCTATCCACTGAGCCACACCGTTCAGGGCTGGTCTGTGTTCCTTTATATTTTCACCCCTTCCCCATCTCACCAGACAACTATGTCCCTGGGTTACCTATAGAACAGACTTAAGTGTAATGTATCAAGGATATTGAACACCCAGACCAAATACCCCCCCAAAAAAGTGTGGTGAGGCGGATGTGGGCGGGGAAAATTCTAGCACAGGGGAGGCAGCC